ACAGGCAGGCAGGAGCCTGGGCATCCAGGCTGAGAGGTGGGCAGGGAGGACACACACGGGTTTTTTTTCTAGTCCCCAAGGGTCAGGCAGGGTACAGCTCTGAAGTCTTGGTGACAGAAATTAAAAGAAACTGCTATTTGAACAAATCAGGATTATTAGAAACCAATAAGGAGAAATGTTTATTATATATAAAATGAAAAGTATTTAATACATATTTATGTAAATGACTTGTGAGCACAAGCCTGAAGGCAAGATTGACACGGGTGTCCGTGCCACATCCTGAGTGCAGGCCAGGGCTGTGCCTCCTGTGCCTCCTGTATTTATGGACAAGTCTGCGTGTTTGTCTGTAGCTAGGATCTGTGTTTTTCTGAAGCTGTGCCCAAAGATCTCTGCGCTGTGTTGTGATGATGTGTGTTCACAGTAAATCTATGCTGTGGGTCCAGTGTCTCTCTGTCTCTGATGCTGACTTGTGCAGCAGTATATATGTGCCAGAGCTTGTAGGTGCTTGGGACAGCAAGCCCTGCTCATTCTCCACCATCCTGGAAAAGGAACTGTGTCTGAAGTCACAACTAAAGTGAGTGCACAGGCATGGTGCTTTGCTTAAGGCAGCCAGACACCTCTTTTTTCTTCCACAGAAGAACTGGTCATACTGGGGAAGAGGTCCTGGCTTCCCAGGTCCCAGGGTGGTTTGCGGTAGAATGAAGATGCTGTGGCAGTGTGTTCGGCTCCTTCCACTTGTTCCACACCTTCTCATCAGTTGCAAGCACGTCCTGAGTACCGTGTCCTCTTCTCATGCCTGATAATCCATAGCTGCCAGTTTGAGTATTTAAGAAAGGTCGTGTTTACTTGCACTTGAAAGGCAGCAGTCGTACAGCTGCCTCAAGTGCACCACTGTGCTAGGAGGAAGCCTGACCCCCCTCATCCACAGGGCTGTGCCAGCCTGCTCTTGTATGGGTGTGTGCCGGGGTCTGCAAGAAGGGGCTGCCTCGTGCTGTAGGGAAGCCTTCTGGCTTTCATTGGCAAACCTGCATTGGAGACTGGGAAGAACAGATACCCTGTCTGGTGCCTGCTGGGCCAAGGCCACAGGCCTGCAGTGTGCCCTGCCCCTGCCGGCTGCAGGAACACGGGAGGCAGAGCAGCACTAGATCCCGCTTGCATGCCTCTGGCAATGCCCGTGCCCCTGACCCTGCCATCCTGCCCGCGCCCTCCCGGGGTCAGTAGTAGCATCTGCCACTGCCAGCACCGCTGCTTCAGCAGCAGGGTCCCTGCTGGACACAAGAGTTGTCTCCTGTCAAGATTTGCATGTTTCTGTCTGGGCTCACCTCTGTGCCCATGGAGCGGGTGGACTGTGGCCCAGGCCTGGGCAGAGTGGTTGCCGTGATAGACCCAGCATCATCTGCTGCAAGCAGTCATTGCTGAGTGGGGCATGGCTCCTTCAGAGTGGCACGAGGAGGTCACGGAGCAGGGTCCTGTGGGATGAGGGCCTGGCTCTCACACAGCTGGGAGCTTATCCCTTCTAGCGCCCTGGAGCCTGCTGGTGGGATGGCTTTACTGTGTACAAATGCCCAGCAGACCTCCTGCTTGTCTGCTCCCCCTGCGTTGCAAGAAAACAGCCAGGGGATGCTCTCAGTGCCAGCCGCCCTCCTGCCATACTGCCAAGGAGTGCACGAGACAGCCTGGACTCTGGGTGCCAGGGGAGCCCGGAGGGCGCTTTGTATCCGGGAACCCTTTCCCCCAGAGAAAGCGGCTACTGGCTGCAGTGCCCTTGTGGTTCCGCAGCTGGGCAGGGGCAGCACGAGCACTGCCCAAGAGCCGCTGCTGCGGGATGTGCCACATCATCTGAGTACAAAAGTGGACGTTCTTGCAAGGCTCTGAGGGCCATGTTCTGCAAGAAGGCACGGCTGAATGCTGCACTAGTTGAATTCCTGGGTAGATTGCTGCCACTCACAAGAACCACTGTTATTTATAATGTTCCCCAATCTTCAGCCCATTTCTTCACCTGGAAATGAAAAGGGAATGACGCTTGGGAAGCAGCTTTCAGCTGTTGTTCTGCTGTGGCTCTGCAGCTCAGTGAGAGATTGGGCCCAGGAGAGAGGCTGGAAAGGCTTTTTGTAGTGATGAAAAATCCATATCCCTAAATTGAGACTATTTCTACAAATTCTAATTAGTGTCTAATTTCGGCTTCTGAATATATCTTTTGGTTGCTGGAGTCCTCTAGCCAGAAATTATCTGGTGATTCCGTGAAGTTTTGTTCTCCCAATAGTTTGTAGGATCAGAGGGCTTTCTGATGAAGGGCAAAGTAAAAGGGAGACAGCCTGGTTACTTGTGACTAGTAGTGCTTATGCTGCGAAAGCAAATGTCTTGAATTCAAAGGCAGGTATTGTCCCACAGGCAACCAAGAAGAAAGCTGGGCTGCAGACAGCAGTGCAAGAACTGGGTTCTAGTCTATGTCTGCTCTTTTCCAAAGGTAGGCCAAGAAGGGACAGTGCCCTTTATTTTAAAAGAGCTGCTTAATAGCTGCCTCTGTCGAGAAGTTTGTGGTCTTTCATGATGATCTAACACTTCCAAATTAATACCTGCAAAGTGTGTTATGAAATCTGAGCACTGACTCTCTGCTCTTACTGTCTTTACCATGTTTTTCTTGGCTTAGCAACAGCAACAATTAATGACAAAGCCCTTTCCAAACAGAAGGGTGGTGTAAGGAAGTGCTGTGAGTCACAGAGGGAAAAAAGAAAAGGACAGTTGCACAATTTCTAGATACAAACAATTTCTTGATCCTGGCAAAGCCAGTTCTGGCTCCTCAAATCTACGCTGATGCATAAGCTGCACTTCTAAATGCTTTTGGGCTGCGTAAGTAGTGATGGCTGCTGCATGGTCCTGCATCTCTGTCTGGGTGTAGCCACAAACTTTGCCTACAGTAGCTGGGATAGTTTGGATCAGGCTTACCAAATCTCTGGCAGATGCAGCTAAGCAAAACTCTTCCTGAATTGTTGTCACTGCATGCAATGGGAAAGCAGTATAGAGAAATGGGTCCAGGTCATGTGACCTAGCAGGCAGGAAATACCAACTGTCTGTGCCGAGTAGCTAGAATACGGCAATGTCTGGTGGAGGCTGTGGCAAGTGACAGGCCCTCTGTCAGTCAGCATGTACGAGCAAATTCCTTGGAGCTGGAGAAACTGTCAGGCTGTATGGCATATGCACACTTTGGGCCTTTGGCGTGGCAAGGTCCAGGCAGCCCTGGTGATTGTTGAAACAAGACCAAAATCAAATCAACGTTGCTGCTGTTGCCTTGGACACTCCTCTGGCTCATCAGTTTCCAAATACTGAAGGAGCTGATTAAAGGAAGGCCATATTGCTGCCTTTCTGGGACCTCTTTCGCTTATCTGTTCTTCTGGTTTCTTGGAGCCATGCCACTTCCCCACAAATTACTAACCCTTATCTCCCCAAGTCCTACGCAGCAAGTGATGGACACAGCTGGCCAGCAGAGGACAGATGGTTTTTGTCTTTGGTGTGAGAGTCCCATTCCCCCACCCCTCCTCCTGTGGTCCAGGACTGTTGGTTCCAGTGCTGCCCAGCTGATGCCTGCTCTTGCTGGCCATATGGGAACAACAGGCCCAGGAAGCTCTGCCTCTTCTTGTTTGAGAGAAGTCCAATTTGTTGCTGAACTGGAGACCTGGCAAAGCCAAGGCCTGCTTTGGAGGTCTGGGCTGGTCCAGTGCCTCCTTGCAGACACCTGCCCATGGATCAACATTGATGCTTCTATCCAGGTCTCATGGGCACTCAGTGTACTCCTGCTCATTGCTGAAGGAGCATTGCTTCCTGAGGACATGCTTATGTGACACCACTTCCCTGCGTGCTGCCACTTGTGTTTTCCGCTACGGTAACCTGATCTTGCCTCCCTTCTCCTGCAGAACAGCCTGTAGTAGATGTGTTCACCACAACCTGCATGCTCCATCTCAACAGCTGGCTGGGGAGCTCTGCTGTGCAGGATGGTGCTGAACAGGTCCTCAGACTCCGAATACTGTACACCTTTGGGAAATGCACATACAGTCACAGCCTCTCATGAGCGTGGCCATATCCCTACGCTTGTTTAGCTGGAAAGAGCTGTGGAAATAGTTCCTGGTTTATAGTAACAGTTTGTGGTCCCTCCCCTGTCAGTAACAGCTTGGCAGCTGCCTTGAGCTCTTCATTACGTGCTGCACAAGCTGTGGTATGTTCCATGGCCACAATGGCCTCTTTTCCGAGGGTCATAACCCAGGACCTGCTTTCCTTTTCCCTTGCATTCAACTGTGTCATAGTGTTTCCTCCTGAGGACACCCAGGCAGGAGCAGAGCTGACTGGGCATCAGCCACTCCTGACTGCTATCCAGCACAGGCAGAGCAGAGGGCTGCTGTCCTAGTTTTCTGCTGAGTAGCTAAAATGGCTGAAATAAAGTGACTTCCCCTTCAGGGGATGGTTTGGAGTGCTGCAGAGGTACAAAGGCCCACTGTTGCAATAGGGAAACTGCTGGGGGCAAGGAGGGAGGGGTGGGTGTCCCAGGCAGGCTCTATGGCCCTGATGTGTGTGTCCTTCCCTGGGGCCACAGGAAGTTTTAGCAGCTGTGAGTGAAGATGTGGTATTAGTGGAAAAGCCGGGCCTAGCCTGAACTCATCGGCTGGGGGGCAGCTGGCCAGCGCAGGAGGGAAGGTATGGCAGCAGTGTCTGTGTGCCCCCTGCCTACAGTATGGACTCACTCAAAGAAGCGTTTGAAACAGTTGGAAGTGTTCTTGTTCGCATCAATGTGGCTTTATTATTAATGTGCTGGGCTCCTCTCTTGACAGCAGTTAGTTACAGAGTGTTTCACATGGAAATGGGCAAAAGGACAGAACTCAAGGAACTAAATTCAAATAGAAACATGATGCTGAAGAAAAGGATCAGGGCTCTGTTCTTAAAACATTTAGCATAGAAGAAGCTAGGAGCACAAATTGCCATTTCAATACAGTTAAGACGTTCACTTTTTTAATTATAGGTTTAAAATAGTATTTTGTACCTATTACATACAGGAAGATTACGTGTTGTTGCCCACATGCAGAAACAAGCAAAAGCAGAGTTTAACTGTTTCTCTCTATAGTGTTGTATTACCTCTGGCTCTGGATGGGTTCTGCTGGCTCCTGCAGGCTAAGCAGAGTCAGACTCTTTACAAATTGGCATTTTTACAAGTCTTTTTCCCCCGTAGCTTTTTAAGACGGGGAGGTGGGTGGGCAGGAGGGAAGGGAGGGAGGATGAGGGGAGCAAGACAGAGAGGAAGGGAGAGAAGCTGAAGGCAGAACAGACTGCCACAAAAGACTAAAAAAGGTGTGGAGCCTTGAGGACAGGGACGCGAACTGGTGTAGGATAAAGCTGTCCAAGCAGCACAGCTGCGGAGTGCAGGAGCACAGCACGTGGAGGGCAGATGTTTTTACTGGAACACATGCCAGTGATTGCACTCCTGCTTGGAGGATGCAGGCACCTTGCAAAGCCTCACTGTTACTGCTGCTTATTCAGAATTGCTTCAAGTTTAAAATTGAGAAAACATTCATGTGTGGGTCTATCTAAAGTTAGTGCATTAGCTTTTATGCCTAGTCACACTTAGGGATCCAGGGAGCCAGTCAAAGAGGGTCACATTTGTTCCTCTAGTGTCTGGCATCCTGCGCCTGCACTGGCTGGGAGCCGGTGAGCCAAGACCTCCCCAAAGCTGAAAGCAGCCCCCCAACAGTGTCTGGGAGAAGCAGGAGCAGGTGTGTTACTGCCTGCAGTTGCTTGCCATAACCAACATTCATGGACGCTGACCCCAGTGGGTTACAGAGAATGACATTTATTCTGGCGGACACACCATGATTCCATGGTTAAAATGAATACATCACAGGGCAGGGATTTGCTAAATCCCTCAGTAATCTCAAAAGCTCCTAACAAGGGCTGTGTGAAAAGGGCCGGCTGCTCCTAGGGAAGGGGCTGCAAGCCTCAGGCTTTGTCCTGCAGCTGCTGGGTTTAGACTCAGCCTTGCAGCCTGCAGGCAGAGACCCCTTTTGCTACCAGCAAGTTCTCTATGGTATTTTTATACTGTTGTTTAAATTGCAGCATCTAAGTATTCGTACTGAGAAACCTCTGAACTGACACTAAGAGCACATGGTGTCATGTTAATATGTATAAATTAAAATATTAAATCCACACAAAATGCAGCTTAACATCAAAAAATAAATATATAAATTAAATGCAAAATAAACCATTTCCCTAGAAATTCCATTTTAGTCCCAGGAGCAGGTTTCTAAGCAGCATTTTCTTTATGTCAGCTACCAGAAAACTAGCACTGAGAGTGAAGTGTCCCAGACAAGCACAACACAGTGTCCTAGGATGCTTATTATGAAGTCAGACCTCAGATCAGGGCCAAGCACAGTGGATGACACAGCAGATGGAAATACCTTTGAGTTGTACGTCAAGCCTTGCAGCACCGCCTTCTATCTCATCGTCCCCAGAGCACACCTTACTGCCGCTCTCCTTTTCTTACAGAAAGATAAAAGCCATCTTTGTGATAAGACCCTCTTGTAATGTTCTCAGATGTGGCAAAGGCTCACCGGTGCTGCAGGCTCAGTGCACCTGAGCACTAACACTCTTGGAGCCGCTCTCCTTGCAGGGACCTGGAGCCTCACTGCTGGAAAGGGTTTGCATGCCAAGGAGGCTCTGGGTGACGGTTCAGTAGCAATGATCCACTACATTCTACAACTACACTTCTGCCAGGATGGCCAGAGAGCAAGGACATACGCCCACAATAGGTGTACTAGCAATGAGCTGCAAGGTGTGCACAGCACAGTTTTGGCAGCACCTCATGTATGCTGGCAACAAGAGTCTTCATGTCCCTGCCCACGGGTGTGGAGGAACTAAGAGCAACTACACTTACTAAACTACTTTCCCCAACTGTTTTTGAAAGGGGGTTCTCTTTCCTCACACCACAGGTTCTACTCCCTGCATCCTGGACGCTTAAAAGGGACAACAAAAAGCCTGAACCCGTCTAAGAGTCTTGGACTGCCAGCATACAGGCAGCGAGGAAACTGCTGCTGCTTGCAGAGCTGGCACACATCAGCTACACTGGCCAGACACTAGCCTCTCTCAGTGTGGCATGCGGGTTCCTCAGCTGCCTCACTACAATCCTCAAGAAAGCCTTTGGTTTACAAGGACAGGGAGGTTTCATGTACATATTAGGCCAACAGCGGCCAGGGTTGTTTCAGCCCTTCTACTTTAGAGGGGGCTGTAGTTGTGCGTTTGGATACTCTTTTTGTGTGACTGTTCAGGCAACAGCCCCTCTGTGCCTCCTACTGTCACACTGCTGATGTGCGGGAGTAAATTGGCCACTCTGTGTGTACAAAGCTCAAGTTAGCAGGTTAGGAATGTGCTCTTTGTAGCAAAGAGCAACAGGCTGAACCCTCTGCTCCCACTGCCGCCCCCAAACAAACGTGCCCTTCATCCCAGCTTCTTGAGCATCATGAGCAGGTGTTGCAGGATGCCACAACCAAATACTTGGGACAGAAACCTGCAGAGCTGGCAAACAGTGGTCCTGCCTAGTTGGAGTATGGGTCCCCCTGCTCAGAACACCACCTGTATGTTCAGGATGGGAGATGGAAGAATGACCTTCACTGTCATGCTACAGTTGGAGGGTTTCCCCTTCCCTCATCTCCTAGGTGCATTTTCTTCGCAAATTAGTTTTCTTCTCTGCCCCCCCACCCTCCATGCACTGTCTACATGCAGCAGCAGCACTTCAGCCCTCACCAGGAAGATGAGGTTCATGGTGCTACAAGTTAAATGGCAAAGGCAGCCAGGAAGAGAGTACAACAAGCTCTCACAGCAGCAAGGCAGCCGAGATAGTCTACAGAAACTGTACAGGCAGCAGGATAAAGCAGGGAAAGTGGAAGTGCCCCTGGCCTGCAACTGCTCTTGCACAAACTCTTAGCTCAGTCCAGAATATTACAGAGTGCTGCACTTCTTTCTCATGGCATCTGGTGCTGAGCTAGATGGATACCCGATTGCCTGACAAATGGGAACCATGTAGAGGACTAAACCAGAGAAGAACTGGACTGTGATTAGATGGTGTCTCTGATGTTGCATCGGTGATTGGAGAGTCAATGGATGAACACAAAGTGTAGGAGATTTAGAATTCGATCTTACAGGCTGGAAAAGATTCATCCTGCATCACAACAGTGCTGCTGCTTGCCAGTACCATGATGTTTAGCTCCTGCTGTTTCTCATGGGTCTGTTGGTACCATTCTCGTGTCACCTCAGTATCATGTGTTGGGATCAGTGTCACCTGGGAAAAGAAAGCAGCAGGGATGATTGTCTGAGAACAACTGCAGTGACAAACAATGCCCATAGGAGCTGAGGCTAAAATTTCCCATTGATTTTGGAACACTGTACCCTTGGTACTGCTTGTGCTATTTAATGTCTTTCAGATGTCAAGTTCTCTAAGGCAGAGCTAGTGCTTTATTTTATGCAGTAGCAGCACAATGGCACTCTGAGCTGGATACAAGCTGGCAGTACTAACACCATAATCATGAAAATGCCTGCAGTGCAGGGGAGAGCATCTCTCTGTGGAGCTCCAGAAATGGCCTTAGAAAGATCCCTCAGTGTGAGAAGGAACAATGCTGAGAGTGTCACTATTAATGGCCTGATATTAGACTTTATGTGCCTATTATTTGACCCGATGCGCAACTCAGGGACCTTGAAATCTGAGGCTGCCTCATCTGAAAGTACATACCCGCTTTCTTGTTCCTGTCTTTGGAAAGAGCGCCCATCCAGGACGTCCTGCAAACCTGACTAAGCAAGAACTATGTGTAAGTACACTCTGATTTAAAAGCACTAATAAAAGTTGGTATCAGAAAGATCTTTAGCAAGCAAGGCTAGCAACAAATGCCACTGTGTGTGGGAGACTGTGATGAAAATTCAGACTGTGATGGTGCTTGTTTTCGCTTGAGGATAGGCTCATCCTGCAGCAGATAAGGAATGTATGATCTCTGAGTGCTTCCACCCCTCAGAAGGATGTGGAAAGGAGGACATATCTGCTTCCACTCACACCATTTTGTGTGTGTCCTTCTCCCAGGTACAAACAGGTACTCTTCTAAGATTGCAAAGCAGGACATGCCCAGTACCATTTGCTTCCTCTTAGTGTACTCCCTCTGGGCATGTTTGTGACACACACCTTCTCCCCAGCATGTGTGACACAAGGAGCATCACACACACTCCTTGGCATTTCCATGACCTACCTGCAGGTTCTCCCCCCACTGAGACTTCCCTTCCAGGAGTGCATCCAACACTGCACGGCTTGGTTCTCCATTGGCTGCATCATTTCCACTCACAACATAATATGATGCTCGAACCCGCTTGAAGAACTCTGGATCTGTGTTCTTTCCACTGCAATGGTTGGGGATGTATGCCAAGTCCACATAGACAGGTGGACCTGTGAGCACAGGCAAACTGCTCTTAGGACTACTGGAAGCTTTGGAAAAAAGAAAACAGATGTTATCAAAACCCTTCTGGAAAGGACAAACACTCAACACTGAAGGACTTGAATTCCAGAAAGGTTTTTCCCTGCAGCTGCAGCAACAAAGTTAAGATTTATCCAGGCTCTGCTGTTCAGAGGTCACCTGGGTGCATTTCTGGGCAAGTGCTGTCATGACTCTTAGGAGGGCAAGGGCGTTCTGCTATTCTTTGGGGAGGTACTGGAAGGCTTTAGGCTCAGAAGCTTTTCCTAGGGAAGGGAATCAAAAAAATCTCCATTATTAGGTTTCACAGATTTGTCATCCCAATCAATATTTAGTCACATTTTTTCTTGTTTAATAACCTACATTTGCTAAAGAACCCAGTTCTGATGGCCTTTATATGCTATCCTAGGGTATTACAGTAGTCTTTCTGGAAGCTCCATCCTGGCTTTCTGCCATTCCTGTGAATTGCTGCTATTCCAAGGATGCTGTTGCTCTTTCCTATCAACCTTATGTACCTCTCTTCTTCATTTGCTGCTGCTTACATTTACAAGATGAGATATGGTCAAACAAGGGTTGCTATACTCAGCAATATATATGCATATATACATACACACACAAACCACAGAAGGACTGTCCCTTCTCTCCCTCCTGCTCTCTGTGGAATCACAGAGGCCTCTGTCCTCTTCTTCCTTCCATATACTATCCATATACTATACTGGGTAGTCTCTTCTGTCTCAGCCAGTCTTATGAATGTCTAGTCCTCATCCCAGGTTTGATTTGAGCAACTCACAGCACTGCTCCGTGCACAACTTCTACACCCTATATCTTCATCTCAACCCTCCCTTCAGACTCGCGTATCCAGGCACTGCATCTTGCTAGTCCTTTCTGTGCTGCGCCTCTAAGACATGACTGTTCTGTACCGACACTCTGCTAATACCCTGGTGTAGGCTCTCTCTTGACTGTACCCTATTTGCTTGTCACCTGTTCATGAACATCAGCTGGCTCAGCCCCTGTTCAGTCCACATTCCTTTGCAGAGCCCTCCCTCGCCTGGCACTATGATCACCTCACTGGTCTGTCTGCTGCTTTCCTCTCACTCCCCACTACGCTGAGCAGCCCCTTCATCAACCACTTTGGCCTGTCCACTGCCCTTGCTGTCAGTGACACCATGTGTCAGTGACACTAGCTTGCCTCACCTGAGTTGTATTTGCAACACGCACACAGAGGGGCTCTTTTCAGGTCTTCCCCTTCAGCTGCTCTCACTCAAATGGAGCTCCCTGTAGCGCCTTGCAAATGTTCCCCCACTTCTCCTACTATTCTCTTTGCCACAGTGTCTCCAATGGGCATCTGCTGACACCACAGCAGATCAGCTGTGTTTCAGTTTTCTCCATTCTCCCTGGCACTACCCACCTGCTGGCTCTTACACTCAACAATCTGGAGCAAAGGATTAGTATTTGCTCTGTGTCTGTAAAGCGCCTGGCACTATGGGGTCTCAGGACAGACATTGGCAACGATGCAATACTGCGTCACCTAATACTGGTATCGTTTGGTAGGATACCAGTAGAGCACTGGTCTCTGTGTGAACACTTAGCAAGAGGCCATGGGCTGTACAGATACTTGAGGCTGAGTCCCTCTTTCACACCTTTACTTAGGAAAAAGAGAAAAGACCCTGGTTTCCAACAGTCATGCTGTCTGTTCAGTGCCCTGTGTGTGGTACTCAGATGTGGGAGCTGTTCCCATCCCATCTCTGCTTAACGTTTCAGAGGAAAGGACGTATCTAACCATGGTGGTGTCCTGTTATTCTAAGCGACAGCTTCATTTCAGTACAATGCAACTCACTAACCCCACTCACAAGCTGAGAGGTTGCCACCTCTTTTTAAAACACACATATATTTTGCCTTTCAATTGCTGGCATGTCTTTGACAGCAAGCACCTCTAAATACCTACTGCCCCTCCACAGATGTAGCCCCTGGGTGGAACTGAATCTTGGCCTATAAACTTCTGAATTAGGTCTCACAGGTCAGTCTCTCTTCAGAGGTGGTTGCATTGGCGCTACAGAGGTTGAGAGTTTTCCTCAAGGCTTTGATCTTTCTAAGTGATTTGTGTGATGACCTCTCTACCGTATCACTGCTTATAACTTTTTATGCCTGACTGGGAAGTCCCATTCTCTGTTCTGCTACATTTAACCCAGTGCTTTTTCTCTGTATTGGACCTGAAGAGAAAATGCATTCTTAAGGAAGAATTTCTTACCAGGGTTTGTTTTGATGCCATTAACAAGGCTCTTGCCAGGGTTGCTGTGACTACTCCGGAATAACTCATCTTCTGTGTGAGCAGGCTGCACCAGCACACTACGTGGTTTGGGCTTCTCTCCTCCATCTCTTTCTTTTTTGGCAGGGACAGTTTTTGGAGATTTGTCTGATGGCTGTTTCACAGGAGTGGGTGATCGTTTCCCTTTCACATCTAATTTCCGGGCAGGCGAGGAAGATTTGGGTTTGCTCAAAGGCTTCCTCACACCTTTGTTCTTTTCTTTTATGTCTTTCTTGGAAATTTTATCAGTTCTGCTCATGCTTTGCTCATTTACCAACATGTCAGGGTCTACCATGCAGACATCAGGGTGAGGAGGATGGGGATGGGGATCTACCATTGGAACAGGTTGAGGATCATGGCTGGACCTAGAACTGGTATGATGAGCATTCCCAACAGCTTTGTCCACTGGAAGGAAATCAGCATCTTCATCCGAGTCCATGTTGGCATCTGCTGTGATGGATGGACATTCTTCTGTCTCAGGTGGGACATCCGAGTCTGACTGGGAGGTTCCAGAATCACTCACTGATGTCGGAGGGGTTTCCTCCACTGTGGCACTTTGCATGGGGCTACTACCATTGTGGGGTGGTCTTCCTTGCACTGAAGGATGACCGTCCTCCTGTGAGAGATCACTATCTTCAGAGAGCTCATGAGGGCTCGGGTTGATGAATGAGGGAGAGAGCTCTCCCTTCCTGTGCTTGTATTCACATGACGAAGATTTCTGTCCGCAATCAAAACTGCCTCCTAAATGTGGTTCCATCTCATGGGAAGCATCTCCATGGTCCTCTGTTTTTCCACCCCTCTGCACATCTGGGGAAAAGGGCTGGAAACTGTGTTCAGGGGACATCAGAGAGGAAGGACGGCTCTGCCTCTCTGTGTCCTCTTTGCCTGTGCATGGAGAAAAACTGCTGTCAGAATCAGGACATGTTTTTTCATCTTTTGCTTCTGCTGCATGGTATGTACTTTGGAAAGCTTGCAGACTGGTGCTCACCTCTGTTGGACCATTGGCTGTGGTTTCATCTTCATGCTGATGATGAGGAAATGATGCCAACACATCAGGTAGAGATGACAGTGTCATCAGCTGTTCTGCAAATGGTGCCTTCTGCTCTGGACTGCTTACACAGGGTTGCCGTTGTTTCTCTGCAGAGAATGGTGTGGGCTCTGAACTCTGGCACTCCTTTCTGCATGGCGAAATGCTGTCACCCATGCTACTTGTGAATGGAGAACCATGTTCTTCAGCAAACACAAAGTCTTTGGTTTCAGCTGCATGTGTTTTCACAGCATTATCTGGAATCTGTGGAGCCATATCCCAAAGACTCCTGGTAGCTGGTTCCGCTCCTGCACCCGTGTATGTTGAAAGCATATGGGAGTAGAAACTTTCTGCTGTAGTCGGTATCACAGGAGTGGTAGCTTCAGATGAAGGTTCCTCTGACAGGCTGGAAGAGTCATCTTTCAGCTGCTGTTGGGGCACAGACTCTCTTTCCACAGCTTTGGAGAACAATTTATCCTCTTCATACGGACTCAGCGTTGAGAACTTAGTAAAAGAAGAATTGAGGCTGCTGATTTTCTCAGAAACCTCCAAGTACTCATCTTTCTTCCCCTGGTCTGAGAGCAAAGCACAAGGAACGTTTAAAGGAAGAGAGATATCCCCTACATGTCTTGCTGAGGTTTGCTCATGTCTGAATATACTGGATGTTTCACTCTTTC